GTAAGAACCCGGAGCACTGTAAATTCGATTCTTCTGGTGCCCTGTCTTTTCTTCCTATTTTCTCAAGAGAGCTGGAGGGTGAGGACATCAGAATCACCGTCTTGCATAGAAATTTTGGTGGGCATAAATGTTGCATCATGCTTGCAGACCATGTCTGATTTCCTGGGATCCTAAAACCCAACGCCCCGAATCTATGCGGTACTAGTACAAGATGGTTCACAAACGTATAACTCCTTTTGTCAAGGCGCCTAGTCGTTGAGAAGCCGAGATTTCTCCTTGGGGCTTTGATCCGTTCATCTTGACATAGGTACTCTGAACTCGTTAGGGACCATCGTTCACTAAATCTTTCGAGAATATCCTCTCAGTATGTTTCCAATCAGAACAGCTGTCAGGCATGTAACATGATCCGATATAAACCACACCAATTCCACGTTGAATGCGCTGCTTTAAAGCCACCTGCCCTTCAGATCCTCGAGCACATTCTTCTACCCTTCCTTACGGACCATCGTCCTAAATGCAAGAGTTACCGTACCTGCCACCGCCCATCAGACGCGCCCTTCCCCAGACATCGGACGACATGACTGCTGCCTGCCTCCCTTCCGCGACCGCGGGCGCCCAGACTGGACCTGACCCAGCCACCAGTAGCAGGCACCATATAAGGTCCGCTACCTAGCTCGTCTACCGCAACGGGGCCCTGTCGTCTTATGGCGCAGTGGTTCCTGTTGATGAAAACATTGCCGGGTGCGCGGTACTCGAGGTACAGTTTTCGTTGGTCACAGCTGGGGCGTTGTGGTTCGTTCCACAAGCTTGCCTGGGCGACTGAGCTTCTTGCTTCGCTTGTTCAACTTGGTAATGGCTGACGAATTTGAATAAGATTCTTGTATTTTTCTTTTCTGTTCTGGAGGTGCAGAGGGAGAGGCAATGTCATTGGGGACCCCGTTGATGACCAGGACCTTGTCGCCGCTCCATGCCCTGTTCTTCGCGATAAACTCACGTTGATGGTCTTGATCTCGTATGCCAGGTAGCCAGACACACCGAGTCCACTTCCAGCACAAAATCCTGATTATGTTGATGTCATGAACACAATGAGAACAGCCATGTATCTGCAGTTCAACCAGTCAGCCAGCCGCATCACACAAATCCAGAAGTATACAAAGAAACATCAAACTTACGCAGCACAACTCCCAAAGATCTCATGCTTCTTTGCCCTCGTACACACACTCAACACCACGCCAAATGCAAACGCGCACGCAACAATCAAGCCCATGATCTTGGCTAGCGTCTGTCCAGTTACTGCCGCGCTGTTCGTCCCTCCGTCTGCCGGGCCTGAGCCTTCCTGGGTCCAGGAATAGAGCGGGACTAAAGGTAGACATAATAGGCAGAGCATGAGCAAGATCAGAATGACCATCTTGAGGAAGTGGACGCGGGCAATGGAGAAGAGATTCAATGCTGCGTGCTTGCTGTCGGCATGGGTCTTGGTATGAGCGTTGGCAAAGATGTACTGAGAGATGAGTTAGTTTTGGGCTCAATGACTCTAGATAATATGGAAAGCTACCGACCCGTAGTGGTGCACAGTTGTACTTGACCAGTAACTGCATGATCACCCGATCAAGCCAGGCGTCGTCTCTCCCTGCTTTGAGGGTTATCATGTCGGACTGACACCCAATGTATCGCTCATGTCTAAACAGAGGCTCTTTGGCTCGGAAGAAGTTTTCGAGACTTTGGATGTCGAAACGGGATGGTCGGTCAAAGTTGGCGAGGTCGTTGGACATAATGAGAAGTTCGCCTGCATCCCTGAAGGTCAGCGAAGTGTTCCATTCTCAGCATCTTTGTGTTACTGCTCCGTCTCCAGGATCTGGTTGAACTGAAGAACACTGCTGAAACACTAGAAAATAAGGAAAGAGAAAATAAAGCATACCATATGTCTTGAGTTTCTCCGCAATTTCTTCCATCAGCCGTCCCCTCACCTTCAGTCGATCATCATCCATCTCCCTCGTCCTGAGGAAGATGGCCCTGTGTGTAGCATCATACTGGTCCATCCTGTGCAGCTGCACTTCGAGGGCTCGTAGTTCATCTTGCATGTGCAAGAGCGTCCGGGACTGTAGGCAGCGAAATTCCCGAAAGATGTAGCCGTCTTCATGAGAAGAGATGAAGCGAGCAAGCATGGGGTAGCCTTCTGGAGCATCTTGGACTGTGATGGTGTTAGATTTGAGTTCCGCTCACAGCTCAGCGAAAGTGTGGTAGTACCTTGCATGTTGACATAACTTGCTGGCTCTTCCATGGGATTGATGTAATCGAGATTGGGATACGGGTCAAGACTGATGCTGTTAGGTGTATTAGCCAGTGACTTGACGGTCGAGCGTGAGGCTCAAACTGAGTGTACCTACCCATCAATTCCTTTCTCTGCCCCCCCTTCCGCCCGAGTCCCTCCCTTTTCCAAGTCAACAGACCATGCTTTGTGATTTGCCCCCTCAACCTCAGAAATCCCACTGCCCACCGACCGTACGGAAGGTTGGTACTGCTGTGAAGGCATCACGTTCGCCACCTGCGTACTTTCTAAACACTGGGCTAAAAGTGAGGCCACCGACACTCGTCTTGGGTCTTGGGCACCAACAGAAGAATCTGAAACTCAATTGGGCGGCTACTCGGAGTGCAGATAATGTCAAGTGACTTTTCGGCGCTTCAATCTCGGGGAGGAAGTCAAAGACATGCAGAACAAGGAAGCTTTCGCATCCCATCTCAACTCGACTTGATTCAACTGAGAACAGTGAGGACCGTTTCTTGTTCAT